GTATTTGTTCAGTGTATTTGTTCAGTGTATTTGTTCAGTGTATTTGTTCAGTGTATTTGTTCAGTGTATTTGTTCAGTGTATTTGTTCAGTGTATTTGTTCAGTGTATTTGTTCAGTGTATTTGTTCAGTGTATTTGTTCAGAGTAATTGTCCAGCGGGGTTATATTTTACTTCATGAGCCGTGAAAAGTGTTTACTGTTCCTGTATCAAGCGATTACAATATTCGCACGGCAATCGGTTGTTTTGCTTGTGAACTAATTTAAACTAATTTTTTAAAAATCAATGTTTTAAACTCCGTTAGAAACGATGTGGAAGTGCCCATCACTACACACTTTCTTCATCAACTGTTCACTGACCCATCACACTGTAACCCCTAACGAGCACAAACGGACGGACAAGAAACAAGGACGCGGAAGTGTAGTGGGAAGTTACATTCATTTGTGAGTGCTCGCTAAGTTTTGGAGTCTTGGAGAACAGGAGTCAGAAACTGAATTTTGCTGACGACGACGATCGAATTCGACAAAAATCTTTTCTCAGAAAGTTATACGTCTACAATAAAATCTTATCCCTGAACGGTAAACGTAAAAAAATATAATTCATCACAGACAGGTATACGTCAACGTTGAAAAAAAGAAAAAGGGTTTTTTCGTGATTAAACTTAGGTCATATGTATGAAATTCATCTTAGTCTTCTTTTTATTTTGTGTGTCTAATAGTCCTTGTCTTTTAGACTCACAGTCTCGTGTCTGCCAGCGGTCTATATATTCTTCGGTGACGTCTCATTGTTTTTTTTTTAAAAATAAATCAACAACTTCCTTTAAAATACTAACGAGATCTGTTGTTGTTATGTTTCTACCCCCCCCCCAACCTTCCTTTATCTAAATTTTCTTTTTTTTTCCCATTTGTTTTCTTTTGCTCCGAAAGGAGGGCATCCGGCCGATACATTCGTTTTATGGTCTTGTTCTCAGTGGAGACCACCTGCTGATAGTTTCCCTTGGACCAAAGAAAAAACAGACAGAACTGGTCGCCCCTTCATTTGAAGAACAAACAAAAAGTGCCCCACCTCCACACCCCATTGCTACGCCCCTGGCTGGTTTATATTTCACGCTGCCACATATCTTATTTTGAACATTTTTATATATATATAATATTTTTATATTGAACAATAATATAAATGAGTATTATATCTTTTCACATGAAATCTAGTTGTAAGTTGAGTCTAAGAAAACAACAAAAAAAACAACACACATACAAAAAAACAAAAAACAAAAAACCCTCGTTTATTTGAATGAGTTGATCCACGTACGGGCCAAAATGCTAGTTTCCAGCCTTTGAAACTCACGAGTTAATGACTTGGTGCTAACGAGCATTTTGAGCTCCATAACAAATAAAAATCCTGAGCGCATTAAACATCACTGATTGCCATGTCTTGTCTTGGGAAATGACAACAAGGTATTATATTATTCTTTAAAGCAGCGGTTCTCAAATCTGTGGGTTGCGACCCTTTTTGGTGGGGGGTCGGTGGGGGGGTGGGGTTGAACGACCCTTACACAGGGATCGCCTACGACCATCGGGGGGCGGGGGGGGTAAAAACACATATTTATGAAGTAGCAACCAAGATTAATTTTATGGTTGGGGGGGGGGTGTGGGTTTCACCCCCACCACAACACGAGGATCTGCATTAAAGGGTCTCGGCAACTGGAGGATTGGGAACCACTGATTTTTTAAAGTGTCTTTCATTGGATCCATTCTGCACAGATGTACATTCATGCTTGCATGTATTGATTCGTCTTGTAAGGGGAAAGTTGTTTAGAACTCGTCAGGGGGAGATAACGAGGTCTTGGGATTGCCGGCCCGTGTAATTTCTTGTAACCATAGATAAGAGACATCGCGATGACGATAAAAGTGAAGGCAGCTGGAATGGAAAGTGGACGAGACGATAATTAAATGCGGTGGCCGGAGTCCTGTGATCGGTTGTAATCCTCTCAGCCAACGATACGATCCGTAATCCCTGCCCGCCCCCCCCCACTCCTGGTCTGCAAGACTACGCAGACGTGAGGGGATTTTGGCGCCGATGACATAAAATTGGACGGAAATGTATTTCTTTATGACAAATCAATGTTTCTCTGGGGTTATTTTAGTACACCTTTTAAATAAGTAGTCTCCCGTGATAGGCCGGAACTCGCTCATTCTTTATGTCATGTAGTTTAATACTTACGAATGATTGAAATCTCTTTCGGGGATGTCACCAATCTTGATCCACCGAAAGAAATTAGGGGAAAAAATATTTTACGGAATGAACTTCCGTGAATCCATGATAATTGTTAAAAAAAATATTACAAACATAATTTTAGAACAAAAGATCGTTAAATTCTCTTAAATTTATGAATTTGTTTTTTTAATGGAGTCATTAAAGGATGGACGAAGTTCTGGCTTTTTATTGAAACAACAAGTTTTGTCCCGTGCAGTGTCTCCCCCAGGGTCACAGAACCTTGATGACGTCAGGACGCATCGCTTGACCGTTGCTCCAGTTCTGCAAGTCACTTTACTTACATTTAAAAAAATAAAATCTAAAAACATGCACACCATCAGACATAAGACACTCCGCTGATCGATGTTAGTAGGATTACTATTGCAAGGCAAATGAACGGAAAGCTCTAGTTAATTTATCAGCGTCAAAATTGTCATTTTCTTGTAATAACGTTTAAATAACGTTCAGTTAACGTTTTAAAAAAAACGGTTGAAATAACGGTTAATTAACGTTTAAATAACGGTAAGACCGCTTTGAAATAACGTTCAAATAAAGTTAAATTAAATAGTTTCTTCATTCAGTCATGGACTTCACAGAACTTTTTTTTTTTTTTTTTTTTTGAGTCGGCCGATCCGTGAATTCATTCTACGTACATTTAGACCAGGGAAATGTTATTTAGCCAACGTCAGTTTACAGCTGAATCACCTGGTTATTCTGACGATAGCTAAAAGTATTCACACGCCAGAATGAGCCCACAAAGTGGGTCTAGATGTTGATGCCCTTCTGTTATCTTCTGCTCTTGGTGCGGACGTTGGTAATAAATTCCCTGTTTTTGAAACTCGGCATTCCCCCCTCCCCGCAGCTAACAATACGGGTGAAAATTGTGAAAAAACAACAACAGAACAGAATGAACAACAACAGCATTAATACAATAATAATTTTTTTTTTTTTCCATGATCGATTTCGGGATTTGTTTAAAAAATTGTCCGGCTCCGTTGTTCAGTTTTGAGCTTTAGTTCGTAGATCAAGTAGGTGGTTTTGTTGTTGCTGTTGTTGTTGTTTCTTGTTTCTCGTGTTGAAGAAGCAGCGCAGTAAGGAAAGCTGGATTCTATGTACGTTATATTTAAGTAAGAACGTTGTGGGAAGATTCTTTGAGTGTTGTTGTTTTTTTTTGTTGTCGTTTTTTTGTATGTTCACTGTATGTTGTTTCATGAGGCTCTTGATCGGTGGTTCTCAACCTTCCCAATTCCGCTGCCTAAAAAATTATGAAATATAAAATTTAAAAAAAAAAAATTTGTATACACTTTTTTTTTTACTTTTCTAGGAATTATCTCGACTAACAGGAATGACGTTTTTGTGCAGACTCTTGAAGTCTCCAGCAAGTTTTAAGACTGTTTAGAGGATTTGTAAGACTATTGAAATTCCACAATTCTTCTCTGTTTCTATAATTTTCTGTAAAATCTCACGACATTAGGAAAATAAGGTCTAAAAAGATGATGTAAGTTTCTTTATAGTAAAAGATAATTTTATTAGAATCTAGCAGATTTGAAAAAAAAAAAAATTGTTTCTATAAGTTCAATAAATTTCAGAGTATTTTCGTTAACTTCAATAAATGAAGTTTTTTAGAAAATACTTAGAAACTCCACGAGCTTCTAAGATCAAAATGATTCTATTAGTTTGTATTTTCATATTTAAAAAAAAAATGTTGTAGGGACGTTTCCAACAGTACCTTTCATAAAAAAAAAAAAAGGAAAAGAAAGACACTTTTCGTCTTAAAAGACAGAAAAACAGAGCTCTACAATATTAGTTAAGATTTTGTTCTTTTCTTACAAGATCACTCTTAATTAACCCACACCATTTTTTGTTTGTAAAAAATAAAATGTTTAAACTAACAAACCTGAACGAGGAACATATTAACATTTAACTGTTTATTTTTTTTATTGTCCACAACATCATACACAATTGTTACTTTACCTTCACAAACAACATCAATGACAAGCCTCACACACAATGACTCTACCACATGACAAACATGATGTTCTACCACTAACAACATTCTCTGTACAACCGTGGGTGACTGTAGTAGGGCCGTGGAAATGTGGACATATGGGGGCTGTGGGACTTTGGGAATTCGGGAGTGTAGGACTATGGGGCTGTTGGACTGTGGCACTGTGTGAATGTGAGCGTGTAGGACTGTGGGAACGTAGAGACTGTGGGACTGTATGACTGTGGGGATGTGGGGCTGCTGGAATGTGGGACTTTGGGAATGTAGGACTGTGGGGCTGTAGGTTTGTGGTACTATGGGACTGTTTGACTGTGCAACTGTAGGACTGTGGGAATGTAGGACTGTAGGTTTGTGGGACTATGGGACTGTATGACTGTAACTGTAGGACTGGGGGAATGTAGGACTGTGGGACTGTAGTACTGTGGGAATGTAGGACTGTGGGACTGTAGGACTGTGAGACTGTAGGTTTGAGGGACTATGGGACTGTATGACTGTGTAACTGTAGGACTGTGGGGCTGTGGGACTGTAGGTGTGTTGGACTATGGGACGTGGGAATTTAGTGCTGTCGGACTGTGAGGCTGTGGGACTGTAGGGCTGTAGGACTGTGGGACTGTTGGAATGTAGTACTGTCGGACTGTGAGACTGTAGGACTGTCGGACTGTGAGACTGTAGGACTGTGAGACTGTAGGACTGGTGCGGCTGTTGCGAGACAAGTTGAAGTTTGGTTTGGGATTGGGGCAGACATGAACACGTCATGGTCTGGGCTCTCACTTTGTTGAAATGGCCACTCTCTGATATTGCCATAGTCTGCGTTATAATCCCGTTAGACCAGTGGTTCTCAACCTTTCTAATGCCGTGACCCTTTATTACCGTTCCTCATTTTGTGACGACCTCCAACCACACAATTATCTTCGATGATACTTCATGAGTGTAGAGTCTATGTGTTTTCATATGGTCTTAGGCGACCCCTGTAAAAGGGTCGAGCGACCCCCAAAGGGGTCGCGACCCACAGGTTGAGAACCGCTGCCGTAGACTCTGGTTACAAACTGAACTTCACCCACTCCGGGCTGTCAGTTTTATTGATGAAACATTTGTAAACCTGTACATTCAATGATCAATTACATGTAAAACTATGTTCATACGATGACTATTTATACACTGTAATGTACACTTTCGGCAAATTTATGATCCAAAGTAATATTACAGAAACACTTTAAAATGTACACACGTGCGTCAACTTATATGGTAAAATAATGACTCCTAATTTCTGCAAAGCTTTTGTAAGTAAGTATGCCTAACTATAAGAATTAAAACAAAATTTAATCTTACCCTGGGTAGCGCTGATTGCAGGCAAACGGGTTTGGGGGGGGGGGAGATTATTAGTAATCACACAATGATATCTTGACATGATACAGTAGCAGGTACGTTAACCGCAAGCCGCGACACGTTTACAATGTACATATCACGTTTCCATTTGTCAGACATGCCACCGTTTACCCTAACGTACAGCCATGCGCGTAGCCGTTTTTATTCTCATGGTAACGACCCAGGCCTCGCACTTCACCAGCTGAGAAACAGACGCACATTGCTTTAGCCCCGTGGGCGGTTCTCAACCTGTGGGTCGCTGACACTAGAAAGGTTGAGAACCACTGCTTTAGCCCCGTGGGCGGTTTCCGATTTCGGACTCGACGCGGCCACCGGCAACCTTCATGTTCCTACATCTGATGTCTTGGTGTGTTCGAATAGAAGCCTAGCGCAAGACATTTCACAACATATTTCTTGAGGCATGGGGAGCAGGATCGTAGCCCCAGCATTCAACAGCTTAATCTTTGTAACCATGAGATATTTAGATATATTTTTTTTTAATTTAAAAATTCTAATTTTAAAATGATAAAGAAAGGAAACAAAATGAAGAAGACTTTTTATAAACTTAAAGAATTCATTGAAATTCTGTTTATTCTGCGTTGATAAGAAATGGGGGGAGGGGGAAAAATAAAACAGAATCAAGCAGGACGCGAAAACAAAATTTGATAATTAATATTTATCAAATAAAGGATGATGGGGTTCAGGGGGCATTTTCACAGTGGGAGAGGGGGGTTGGCTTCCACCCCCTCATTGTGGGTAGACGCCCCTGTGTTACAGTGGTTTTGAAACTTTCGGGTCTTCACTGCTTGAAAATGTTAACGGGACGCAAAGCAACAAAAAAACAAACAAAAAACCCTCAATCTTTAATATGCCGAGTACATTGAGATTAATCTAAGTATCTAAACACCGTAACACGGCCAGGTAGCTATAAAATGTGGGTAGCAAAGGACGTACATCCTTACATAACCCCTTAGTGATTCGTCTTTTTTTTTTCCTTTTTTTTTTTTTTTTTTAAGTGAGGACTTTTTTTTCTAATGGACTCAACCATCGTCTTTAGATCTCATTCCATATATTATTGTTGCGCTTTATATGAGGAGACCATTTGCAAAAAACATGCTAAATGTGTTATCCCCCTTTGGCGGGTTAGTTATGTCATTGTACAGTATTTTAGGTATTTTATGGTATTTAAAAAAACAAAAAAACTACTTCATTTAAGTCTAAAATACCACCATAACAAAAAAATAGTTCAATGTTACATTCTCTATATAAAGTTAATTTACAAAACAATAACAAATAACACATTTGCTCAACATTCACCAACAAGCCACTTAGCAGGTTTCCAAGTGGCTTCCTCATATTTGCCATTAAAAAGACTGGATGGCATGCAATCTTCCACACACCTCAGCCCCTTAACATTTTACGTTAATCGAATATAAACAAGGTCACTGGGTATACATTTATAATGCAAAAAAAAACCACACAAAAAAAAAAAACAAAAAAAACAAAAAACGGCCAAACGACTTATGTTGATATTTCCCACTTTGGCTATGGCGTATTAGCTGTGACCAACTTTTTGTTTTTTTTTGTTTTGTTACTCCAATATTTCCATATTTGATATTTGTACCAACTGTTTTACAAACAAACTTCTCGTGCTGTCTAACGTTTATTGCCGAGTTTGATTTAAGGTGTATAAAAGTTTTTTTNTCGTTGGTTCTTCCTTCCATTGAGACAAAGAACGCTATGCAATATGAGGTCTTTCTCTGGCTGTACCATTCGAAAATCATGAAACATTAACGAAAAAAAAAAAAAAACAACAACAAATAAAACCAACAAAAAACCAAACACATTTGTTTTCTCATATTTAAAGTTTCTGAACCGGGTATTTTAAACGACATCACACTATTTGAATCACCGTTTCTCAAGCTGTGGGAAAAGTACCACAAGTAATAATATTACAATTGGGTGTACACAGAGATATAATAAATTGTAATGCATGATGATCGAGTTTGAATGAACATATGGACATTATTGCACACACTTGCTTACCAGTTGAATTAAACGATACCAATTTTCCCCACTTATTTGAGAACCATTGTTTGTTTGTTTTTTTAGTAACGATCTGCCATGTTGTGAAAACTGTGACTATGTGTGAGGAATGAATGTTATACTCTATTCGAAGCTTATGTTTTCTGTCACTGAATTTCTCGTCTCTCCCCACAAGATAAACACTAAATTCCCCCCGCCCCCCCCACACACACACACAAAGGGAAGGAGTCTCAAATTCTGGCTGGTGTTGTTTAACATTCTTTGGACATTGTGGGGATTTTTCACAACACACATTTAATTAAAACATCAAAGGCGGAGACCCTAAACGTGACGGTGAACTTGTGGGGTGTAAGAGATCGACGCCGACATTGAATGAAATGGTATGGGACACCATACAAGAGCTCTCCTCCGACACATACCATGTTTCACAATTTGGACGAAATTATGTTAAAGAAGTTATTAGGTTTTTAGTAAAATTTCTGATTTCTTCTAAGATTAAAAAGATATCTGTATCGGACCGAATCACTTAATCAAACGGCACAGATTGAGTTTCACCACATACATAAATACATATGATCACCATGACAACATTTATTGCTCTATTTTAAGATATATATATATTTTTTTTTGTTACGGTAAGAAATATGTCTCAAGGACATGTGACACAGGGACATTAGGCACAAGAGGACCTAAGCACAAGCACACCGGCTTGAAGTCCCACCCGTGGTAAAACCCGGCCGGCCTTTAACCAGTCTTGGTATTCGCACCACAAGTTTAAAGCTAACGTGGCTTCATTTCACCCTTGCATACAGAACTTTCTTTCAAAAGAACCCGTGTCAGAAGCTCACAATCGTCTTAGCACATCCGGTAAAGCTGCTAACAGCTCGAGACACCTTGCCGCAGCCAGCGAGTGCGTCCCTTTATTATTGTATTCCCAACAATCAACGGCTGACACTAGCTAATTTGTTATATTCACAACACTGCTATTTCATTAAAAAAAAATTGTTTCACTTGGTTATTGGAGTTCCTATACATTTTTGACAAACCCCCTATGCTCATCCCGTACAACCAGCCCCTCCCCCCCTCTCCCAATCCAAAATAAACAACAACAAACAAATAAAAAAAACACAGAAATTCAACAATGGGAGCAATCTTGTCGTGCCTATTCTTTAAATCATTATTATAAAAATAAAATTTTCTTCCATTCGTCCCCACACACTAAAATATCATCTGTGGCTGGGGAAACTAGCAATATGCAATTGCTAAGGACCTTCCCCATGAAGCTTTAGAGGTATCTCAAGCCACTTTAAGCAGGCATTCACGTTTTCAGTCCAATGTATAGACACCCGTAGATTCCCATTGTTTGCTTTACCTGTTAATAAAAGTGCTGTGTAATATAATATTTTTTTCATCAAGAAATGTCCGGAAATTGTAATTCATAGTCCATCCTAGTGTGCACGGTGCGGCTAGCTATATTTAGAGCATTGAACAAAAATTAACCTTCTTAAATATTCTTTTTAAATCCTTTATATTAAATCCACTCTTGTTAGTGTCTTGGCTTGCAAAATCTTTAGACGGCTAATTGACCCACTTCCCGTCAACCTATCAAGCTGAAACTTGGCACATTGACGCGTGGCCGAGGACAACTTACTTTTTTTTCCTATCAGATTTTCAGCCCACTCCCACCCCATCCCCCCCCCCTCTTTAAAAGTCAGTTTGACTTGTTTTTCAAATTTCAGGCCATTACACAGTGATTTGTTGGCCAAAAACACAGCGTTCAAGTACCAAAGCAAGACAGAAGGTTTTAAAGACAGTAGACGGGGTGTTAGGTAAATCGCGCCAAAGAAGTTGAATTCATAGCGTTGTACGGCACGGAACAGGCGTGCTAGTTCAGATAAAATTATACATTTTTCATTACAGAAAATTAAATAATGCAAAATAAAAAAAGGAGTATTTCTAATATTGGAACTGATAATTGAATCTACATTGATTTTTTACCGGAACAAGTATTTCAGTTAGCGAACGTTTCGATTTAAGAACGGATTTATGTTCGCTAAACGATCCTCCATGGTATGTCTAGACAGGCCAACAAGTTTTAAAAGCTATGTCCGGAACGGCCAACCATTTTTAAAAACCATGTCTATACTGGCCAACAATTTTTAAAAGCCATGTCCATACTGGCCAACTTTACGCTGCTATAAATAATAATTACAAGAAGCTGTTGCTGTAGTTTCCAGTAATGTTCCCCCCCCCCCGATTTCTAAGTTTGAACCCCCCCCCCCCAACCTAAAAAAAATGCCACAAGAAAGCAATATTAAATACACACGTCCTTTTCCACTTACCTTGAAATTTTTATTTTTTTTAAATTTTAGGTTTTCGGGTGTACTTCAATAATGTTTTATTTCGTCCCTTTGAAATTGAATAACCCTTTTTATACCGTTTTAAAAATAAAAAGAATATTCCCCAAAGAACCCAGTCTTTGCACTCTCGGAGCTTCGTCATTAATCCAATTATTATGTCTCCTTGTTTAAAAAAAAATTAATAAGTTTAAGATTAAAATACACAAGCCTGCGGCCAAAGCTTTTTACAGTTCATATTGTTTAGAGTGTTAGACTGACCCCCCACCTCCCCCCCCCAACCCCCCCCCCCCCACCCGCAATTCCAGACCACACACACACACACATACACACACACACATACACACAAGTTTTATTATCAATGTTTGTGTGTGTTTCCCAGCTCCTAATGACAGCGTCGGCTTCTTGTCATTATTGAATTAATAAAAAGAGTCACTACCGGCGAGTTAAGCTGAGGTAACCGAATTTCTTCGCTTCGACGGCCAGAGAGACATTGTGGGTGCCGCGACCATTTCTGCGCGCCAATGTGTGCCGACGGTAATACATTTTGTTATACATATCAGTTGGGGTGAGGGGGGGGGGTATTGTGTGAGATACAATAAAAAAAGTGGGAACACATTTTCTTGTGCTGTGAAATTTGAACTTCGCGTTAACTTCGATAAGAGTATACGAAACCCCAGATTTAAATGCAGGAGCGTTACAGGCACCAACTTTATTTGGCCTCGTGTGTCTGCCTTGACACACCATGTACTGACTTTTCTGTTGTATTTAATATCTGTTGTGAAGGTGCTTATGACAGCTGAAAAACTCTTTGTCCATTTTTGCGTTAACCATCCCATGTTTTGGTTTTGGTTTCTAAGTATCAAAGTGTTGGGTGATATTCTAGTGGATTGTTGATACTCCTCTAGGTAGGAGATATTTTTGAGACTATTTGATGTTCTAGTAGGTAGTGGATATTCTTGAGGTTAGTGTATATTCTTGTGGGGAGGGGATATTTTTGAGACCACTGGATATTCTTGTCGGTAGAAGATATTCTTGGGATTAGTGTATATTCGCCTGGGTAGTGGATATGAAAAATAGATTTGAGTTGTACTTGTATCAGTGTGCGTTCTAGTCGATAAACGAGGATGTAAGTATATACATTGAGAAAGTCTAAAAATGTATTTTGTGTATGCATGAAGGTGTTCTATATGTGTATAAGTGGTTGATATGTGTGTGTCAGAGGTTGATATTGGTGTTGGTGGTTGATATATGTGAAGGTAGTCGATATATATGTAGGTGTAGTTATTTGTGTAGTGATCGATATCTATATATGTGTAGTTGATGTGTGTGTAGTGATCCATATATATGTGTGTGCAGTTGAAATGTGTTTAATTGCCGATATATATATATATATATATGTGGGTGGTCGATATATATATATTTAAATGTTGGTGGAAGTCGATGTCTGTGCGGGTGGATGATATGGGTGTGGATGGACGATATGTGTGTGGGGAAACTGTATTACTTTGGCGGGTGGGGAGGCCTTGTATTAAATAATTTTTATTGAAAACTTTACTTCGTGGCAACAGGATTTCGATAAATTATAACATATTGATATTTTTAATCTTATTTTTTTATCGTAAGAAATAATCATATAGGCTCACTCCAGCCTTGCCCAATCCTTCCTGCCTTGCTCACTCCAGCATCGCTCACTCCTGCCTTGCTCACTCCAGCCTTGCCCACTCCAGCCTTGCTCACTCCTGCCTTGCTCACTCCTGCCTTGCTCACACCAGCCTTGCTTACTCCAGCCTTGCTCATTCCTGCCTTGCTCACTCCTTCCTATCCAACAAACGTCCAACAACACACTTGTGGGATCAGACCTTGCACTTCTACCAAATCAATTTCAATCAAACCAAAGAGGCTAACAATCACGGAATGCCAATCCCAATTCTATTACCACCGGCTGTAAAACTTCAGAAGTTTCAACTTTGATTTGAGACGGTCTCGATGACTGCTGCTGGATCTCGGTTGATACCAGAGGACGAGTTTTTCGGTTTCTTTCCTATAATTCTCCACTTCACGCCACCGTCTCTAGCGTCCAGTTGTTATCAATGTTTAGATACCAGCTTCGGCCCAGGCCGTGAGAACGGAACCTGCTGCGAGTCAAATACCCCCTTACCTCCACCCCCTTTCCCCCGTCCCCCGTCCCCCATACTGTGGAAATTTGGACCGAACCCAAGTCCCTGATTAACTTTATTTTATTTTTATTTTTTTGGGGGGTTGAAAATCTTGAACTTGAACTTGCAATGCCAATGTTTTTTCATGGAAACAAAGGGCCTGCCCCCCCCCCTTTTTTCACCCCCCCCCCCGCCACACCACCACCACCATTACCGAATTTAAAGCTCCATGCGTCCTATGGATTACGTCATGCGATTTTCTCCCCAATCATTACGTTGTTGGCGTTATTTAAATTGTGCTTTTGTAGAAGACGCTTTTAATGGTGTTAGATTTAGCAAATTTAACTTTGATGTAGAAAACCTGTTTGAGGGGTCAGTCTCGTGTGATTGGTTTAAACTATTTTATGGAAGTTGCTGATTAGTTCCAAAAAAAAAAAAACTCGGAGAATGAGAAAATGTCAGTAAAATCTCTAAATTAAAATGACACAGTTCATTATTAAATCTGGGTTTGTTCCGTTTGCATAATTTTTCTTCAAATTTAACCAAAAAAATTAAACGTTATTTGTATTGTACTCACGGAGCATCGATTTGTATTGTACACGTTTTAGAACACTTGCAGATGACTTAAGGTAATGACAAGAACCACACTCGAGATTTATAATCTACTCATTTGAAGACTATAACAAAGGGATCTGTCGTGACTTGAGGAAGAAAGGGAAAAAAAACAACGTTCACCAGAGGAGTGCACGAGATGTCCGAGGATTAGTAGTGAAACAGAATATGCCAAAGAGCTGACATGTGGATGGTCAAGACCCAGGATGTCTCTGTTCAAATGTATGGTCAAAACTCGAGACTATCTCTGCTGAGCTAATGTATGGTCAAGACGCGAGACTATCTCTGATGAGCTAATGTATGGTCAAAACTAATGACTGTCTCTGCTGACCTAATGTATGGTCAAGACTCGAGACTGTCTCTGAGCTAATGTATGGTCAAAACTCGAGACTGTCTTTGCTGTTCTAATGCGTCTCAATTTTACCGACTAGATCAGAGTTTGCCAATCTCTTCAAAACTCCGCTCCACCTGCGGAATATTTCTATTGTCTCACACACCTTTTTCTTGCCTCACACACCTTTCTCTTGCCTCACACACCTTTCTCTTGCGTCACACACCTTTCGAAATATATGATTAGTCTCTCGCCCGCTTTCAGATTATTTGACTAGTCCCGAAACCCCTACAAAAGTACCAATGTAAATATAAAATTAGAAGAAAAAAACGGAATTCTATTGATTTTAAATTGAATGACATAGTGTATGACCGTAGGACCTTCTAACGAAACGACTTATTTAATAAAATCATGACTTATTACATAAAGGTAAATTTTAATGAGGTAATGTTTTAAAATATATATAAAATTTTATGATCATCGCTCAAAGCTTATGTCTCCTCAGTCCTCATAATCCATCTCCTCGCACCCTCTGGGGTACCCCCTTGCATCCCCCATCCCATGCTAGTGCGAGCACCTCAGGTTGGGAAACACCCTGGGCTTAATGACCCCATGTTAATAGTGATTGTCCGTGTCCATTAAAAAAAAACAGTGCGGGGAAAATATACACTATGTACATATGTACATGAAACAACCTAGTCGCAAAACAAAAGAAGACCCAGATCTGTTGAAATAATTGACCCCCCCCCCCTCTCCCTCCCCACACCCACATGCAAATAAAAACATTTGCTGGGATCTTTGCAAACAATGGCTAAAATGTGTGTTGTTGTTGTTGTTTAAAATTTGTTATAATACTCGCTTAAATGCGTTGAACCAAATGTACAGATGTCTCAAAACGAAAGAAAAAAATGTACCTGGAGGGGCGGGTGTGGGTGGGGGGGTGGCCCTAAAGGGTAAAAAGTCTGCCAGGGATGTTGAAACAATGGCCCAATGGCATAGGATAAGTGACCTCTTAGGGTTAAGTTAATACTTTAAATTTAAAAAAAAATCAACGTCCAGTCATACCCCTTTTTAACCAGTAATATTTTTTTTATAAAATAATCGTTTAAAAGCAAAGATATCACCCGCAAAGAAACATGCGCAGGTATTGCTTATAAAAATTATAGTAATATATAAATTATTGTTGAAGGAAAAAAAACATGACCTTTTGCCCTATGTAAGTACACTGACTCATTAATACTCGTTCTAATCTTTAAAACTTAAAAGAAAACAGTAACACTACACATAAGCACGAAACAAAAGATAAATTTTCATTTGTTTGAAAATTCAATTGCTTCCTGCGGTATTAGCGTAGAGATTTTTTTAAAGCAGATTTCGCTTGTTATAAATGCGTCACATTCTCATTGGACGCCATGTCCGTCAAAGCGATCGTGGCATTGTAGTCTCTTTCTCCCATGGTGATCAGCGCCTCGGTCTGCGGTCCCCTGGGGCGGCCGCACCGCTTCATGCACACGGCGCACAAGGCTTTGTGGACGAACGACCTGTACTTACTGTCCAGGACATAGAAGACGACAGGGTTGACCGCAGAGTTCGAGAAGGAAAGACAGAAGCCGATCATTTTGAAGATGTGCCAGAAGTAGTCGAACGTGCCGCCCGGATGCAGGTGGTACCACAGGAAGTAGACGTGGCGAGGTGTCCAGCAGACGGCGAACGCTAAGATCAGCATGAGGACAGTGAGAGCCAGCCGCCGACGCTTGGTGACCATCGTCTCCTGGCGAGTCGGAACCGGGTGGGAGAGCTTCGACGGTTCGAGTCGGACCCCCGGATTAAGGGGGGTGGTCTCCTGCAGCGAGCGAGTCGCTGGTGAATCGGACAAGGGGCGAGCTTGCGCGGGGGTTTCATTGCTGGAAGAGTCAGCTTTAGAGCTTGGCTTCCTCTGGAAAGGTTGAATCTCAGTTGAGGGTATTGGTCCGGTGTAACAGAAACTGTTGTTTAGAACCGGAGTCTGTTGGGTATCCGTCGAGTCTTTTGAGGATTTAGTGCTGAGGGACACCTTGTCAGCAGTCTTCGCCGGACTTTTAGATTTGAGAATCAGATTTTCCTTGGCGTCAGTGGGTTCTTTGCTCGTGCCTTCGGCACTCTGGGAAACCTTAGAGCCCGCCGGCAGAGTCGGCTTGCAGTTTTCGGAATTAGTCTTAGCCGTTGAATCTTTCTTGGCAAGGCACTTTGGCTCGGGCTTGGTCTTGATCTTCTGGGACGTCGCCCTTCTGTCGGACAGAGGGAACGCCCTCAGCAACAGGTGCACGGCGATGATGGTGTACGCCGTGGCGATGACGAGCAGCGGCAGGCAGAACAGCAGGATGAATCGGCACACCACGTGGATCTTCGGGTAGACCGCTCCCCAGTTGGTGTCGTACAGGTCGCAGATGGGGTCCTTGTTGACCCTTCTCAGGTGCTCGAGGTTTGACGAGAGCAGGTTGGGCAGGGACACGGCGGCAGACAGCGCCCATATCGTCACCGTGAGGAGGATCGGACCGCGCTTCTGCTGCCGCCAGAGTTTCTTCCCCGTCACGATCAGACACCGCTCTATGCTGAGCACGGACAGCGTGATGATCACGACAGCCGTTGCCAGGCTCTCGGCAAAGTGGCTCAGCTTGCATATCACCAGCCCGAACGGCCAGTACGGGAGCGTGTACCACACGGAGTTGAACGGAAGCGACACGATGAGGAAGATGAA